TGTGTGTGTGTGTGTGTGTGTGTGTGTGTGTGTATTGGTGTGTGTGTGTGTGTGTGTGTGTGTGTGTGTGTGTGAGTAGCGGGTCCTTGGATTTCCCTCTGGGCGCCTGTGTCCTGGCCAGTGGCCCCACCTGCTGGTGACCACGGGCTGCAGTCCTGCTGGGCTGAGGCAGTGTGGCGGGTGCGTGAGGGCCGCTGAGGGAGCCAGACGCAGGGTGTTAGTGTGGCGTCAAGGTGCCAATGTCCAGGACCGGGTGCGGCAGTGGTGGAGACATGTTTTACACGTATGTGTGAGAAACAACTTCCGTGGGCAGTGTGCGTGTGTGAGGGCGGTGGCTACCGTGCGTGGTGTGGATGTAGGTTGTGAGCAGTGGGGAAGTTGGAGGCAAAGTGAGTTGTGTAGCGTTGAAGAGGTGTGCTTGTGCTGTGCTGTGCAGGAGTTGTGTGGAAGATACAGTGTTTGAGACGTGTGATACTGTTTGTGTGAAGTGTGGGTTGGTGTGTTGGGGAAATAGAACGTAATTAAACTCTCGCTAAGGGCAGTGATAGCACAGGCCTGTAATCCCAGCTACAGGTCTGTAGGCAGAGGCAGGAAGGCTGAGGCAGGAAGGTTTTGAGTTTTACTCCAGCCTGGGCAATTGAGCAAAATCTTGTCTCAAAATTTATTTATTTATTTATTGTCTTTCTGAGACAGGGTCCCACTCTGCAGTCCAGGTTGGGCTTGAGCTCACTTTGTAGCCCAGGCTGGCCTCAAACTCGCAAGGATCCTCCTGCCTCAGCCTCCAGGGTGCTGGGATTACAGGCATGCGCCATTACCCCTGGCACTCAAAATAAAATTTACAAAGGGCTGGAGATGTAGTTCAGCGCTCCCTGAGCACTGGCAAAACAGTGAAACAAGACAAAACAGGTGGCTATCTTTCATACACGTGCACTTTCTCAGCCTTTCCTTGAAAGGAGGAGCCTCACACAACCAAAGCTGAGTCACAGTCTCCCCGAGTATTCTCTTCCTAAACACTGAAAGTAAAGTTTACCTCCAACAATTTTTATAAAAATAAAAGAGGAGCCGGGCATGGGGGCTGAGGAGGATTACAGTTCAGCCAAATCTGGGCAATTTACCAGTTTAGTGAGACCCCTGTCTCAAAATAAAAATGTCACACACACACACATACACACACACACACACACACACACACACGATCCCAGGCTCTCGAATCTGAAGTAGTTGGACGCCCGACAAGTATATTCAAGATTTCATGATTCCCACATGCAGACCATGGTCCCCGGGATCCGAGGCGGGATCTGCCGTGGGCTTTTCCTCGGGGCCCACGGAGGGGCGTCCCTACTAGAAAATAAAAAGACCGTCTGCACCGGAAGTTCTTCTCCGGTCTTCGCAGGGAGAGCTAAGCGGCTCACTGCAGTTTGCGTCTGCCCTAGAGGTGGCCCTGAGCGGTGCGCGCGGGGGGCTGTTCCGCGGTTCGTTCTGCAGCGCACTGCGCGTGACACACGTGGGGAGAGGGTGCCTGCGATGAGGCGGGCACACGTGCGTGCGTGAGTGCGGCGCCTGGCTCCTGGGACCAGCATGTGAGCCTCCTGCAGTCTCGGGATTCATGGCGCTTCTCCTTTTTCAGTACAGCAGTGGGGATTGAACCCAGGGCCTTCGCCCTAAGCTGCATACCCGGCCTTTTAAAAGACGTTAAGTATTTATTTATTTATTTATTTTTGAGGCAGGGTCTCCCTACATAGTTCAGGATGGCCTTGAACTCAAGTAGCCCAGGCTGACCTTGAACTCGGGGCGATCCTCCTGCCTCAGCGGCCACCATCACGCTCATTTTAAATTTTATTTATTTTGAGGCAGGTTCTCACTAAGCCGCTGCCCAGGTTGAGCTCAAATTTGGGATGCTCCTGCCTCAGCGTCTCGGTCTGCACCGCCTGCATTTTGCGCAGCTCCTGAAATTCACACCTGGCCTTCCCCCTCCTCATAGACTTCGGATTTGAGGACTACCATCCCCAGGATGCCCCGCTCCTCTACCAACGTGGACT